TTATTATTAATACCCATCTACATGCCGAATGATTCAAATAGAACCATTCATTAAAAAGTTATAACCAAACAAAAATAAATAATTAGCAAGCTCAATAGAGTGCGAGACGGATGGAGAAAATCGACTGCTTACGAAATTTCACTAGCGCCACCTAGGTTTTACGATATTTGGCGTTAGTGAAATCTCGTAAACAGCCAATGGGAATGGACGATAGGTGGCGCTTTTTGTTAGTTGAGAAATGGGTATCTGATAGTTGAGTCCATCGACTATAGTGTTTTCTCTTGTTTTCTAATAAACTAACTATGTCTTATAGCTCCCATAGAAATAATCGGAAAAAAATAAAAAAAACAAGGAAGAACGCTATAGTCGAGTACCTCGACTATCAGATACCCGTTACTCAAAAGGAAATGGAGATATGAAAACAGCAAAGCGAGATTAAAATGCGCCACCTACCGGCGGTAGACAGATTTAAGCGTTATGGGCGTTAGAGTGGGCGTGGTAAATTTATTTTTGGATCAATCGATAGGTATTGACGACACCAATACATTTCAGCTAAAATTTTTTATCTAGCATGCAAATTGTGGGCGTCACAGGTTTTCGCGCTTTGTGGGCGTTTAAGTGGGCGTGGCAAACTTTTTTTTAGGTCAATCGATAGGTATTGATGAGAACAATACATTTCAGTTAAAATTTTCTATCTAGCATCAAAACTGTAGGAGTTACAGTTTTGGGCGGTTTGTGGGCGTTAGAGTGGGCGTGGCAGTCTACTGAAACAAGCTTGCGCTGCGTAAGAAGCTCAGCAATCTGTACGCCAAATCTCAATAGCCTAGCTTTCATAGTTTCCGAGATCTCAGCGTTCATCCGGACAGACAGACGGACAGACGGACATGGCTAGATCGACTCGGCTAGTGATTCTGATCAAGAATATATATACTTTATGGGGTCGGAAACGCTTCCTTCTGCCTGTTACATACTTTCCGACGAATCTAATATACCCTTTTACTCTACGAGTAACGGGTATAATTATATCTTTGGTGTTTTTAATATATACTTGGAAATAACATTTATTAATTAGTTCTGAGTTTTGAATTTAATTTTATTAAAATCGGACGACTATATCATATAGCTGCCATCGGAAAATTTGTGGGAAAGTAATATAAAACAAATTACAGCTTCGGTGTTTTTGTGTTTTGTTGATTTTGATCGTATTTTCTTTTATTCCGGGATATAGAATATTTTAACTTGTCAGCATAACGAATTTAATTTTACACAAATATCACTGAAGCTAGCAATAATCCTTTACAATTTAACATGGTGTTACTAACATTGATTATTTCTTATAACTGCAGGGGTATACAAGCTTCGGCTTGCCGAAGTTTACCTTCTTTCTTGTTTTTATTAATTTTATTCGAAATTCTGATATATTAGTAAAATAATGTCCGTCTGTTTGTCCGTCCGTATGAACGCTGAGCGCTATTGTTGTGACTGCTCCTGTAGATGCATTCGCCATGTCTCCGATGGCTATAAGATGGGTAAAAAGCTTCATTTTTAATTGATTTTATTTAAGATATATTAATTTTAAAAAATGGGGTGATCATTTTCTGATGGTAAAAATATTGTTAAAATAGGGAATGGTTCGGTAACACATATAAGTTGTGTTGGTACTAACGCTAAAATCATAACCCTTTGTGTATGAAAATCATTGATGATGTTGACCTATTGATTTGGGCGATTACTACGTTAATCGTTGGATCTAATTGTTCTTTCATACAATGAGTGTAAATTATATACCCTAACTGAAATCAGCAGCCCTCTTGAGAAGGCGTAACCTGCAAAATGGACGATTGCCCTCGACACCATGAGACCTTCCTTACTTCTACGTCCGACTTCACCAATAGTTTGCATAATTCAGACAGCTCTCCGCAGTGGCAATGCCAGACTCAGATGAAATCCCGTTTTACTTTTTCCAAATTCCACGTGTGTATGCACGTGCTCAGCACTGAACTCTGACCACTGGTACGGACACATGCATGAGATACAATGATGTTTATTCCAGACTTCTGCTGAGGGGAGCACTCTGCCGCGTCTAACACGACTAATAGATTCTTGTTTGCCGAAAAGTTTGAGACTCCCACTTCGTCTTGTTTGATGCCTGCTCCTTGGCAAATACGTAATCAGTGAAATTTTCATCCGCATTTTTCTTGCCTTTCCTACGCTTGTCTTGAGTCAGCAAATAAACGACGCTTTGGGCTGACGCTCCTCCAAGTACTTGAAATCAATTTCCATAAACACGTGAGCAAATAGCACGTGTGCCCATGGGAGAGAGCTCGCGGGAAATCACAGCGCCAGAAATCATTTCACAGCCAAAAATCACATGTAAATCATAAATGTAAAGTGGAATAGTAAATATTTTCCATAAGAGTTTTATTAAAAAAATTGAATAATTTATTTGTTACATATTATTATAAAAACAAAATGATGATTTCATTACACGGTAATAATTTACCACTGCCAATTAAGTAAAGCCATTAAAAGTTCGCTGTTTGTCAAAATGTATTTTTATGGAATATATTTAACAACAAAAAAATCTTAATTTTTATTCCAAATCTTTTTAAGGTGCACTCAACTAAGCCGAAGTCCCCGCCGATTTTTCCTATGTGATTTTTTAACTAATGCCGATATTTACTTCGGTATGTGGCACGCACCCTGACAACAACCCCTGAACATTTTCATCTCCCCGCCTCTGATCCCCTTTTTTCAGGGCCTGCTATGTTTGAGTTTCGGGCTGTAAAATGCTCCTTAAATTGATTTTTATTTATATTTCAAAGAAAAAACTTTTGTGCAGCTGTCGAGTCTGTTGTTTTTCTTGTGCTTCCCATTTTGTTTTTGTTGGCCTGGCTTGCAACTGCGACAAACTTGCGTTTACGTCCCGTAAATTTTTTACTATGGACACCTTTTTGTACGACATTAATTCAGTTATTCAAAAGCAAGGAAGGATTAAACAACTTACAGGAGTGTCAGCATCAAAAATGTGCCTGAAATCATCGCAAAACATAATCGCCGTGGTAGTCGGATTGTTAAATCAATAAATAACCTAATCAGCTACTTAAAATTTTTTATCATTATACCTGGCTTGTTTCCTTTAATTTGCTTATAATTCAATTTGAATTTGAATGCAAGGGTATGCAGAGGGCTTAATGATTTCAGTCAGAAGTTTGCAACGCAATGAAGGATACGTTTCCGACCCCATAAAATATATACATTATTGATCAGCATCACTGGACGAATCGATCTGTCCGTTTCTACGTCCCTCAGTTTTAAAACTACCGGGCTAAAACCTTCCCAAAAGTCTTATTTCCATTGCAGGTAGTATATAAGTCGGAACAACTATATGCTTTAGCTCCCATTGGAATGATAAAAAAATATTTTTTTTAATGTAAAAAAATTGTATTTTTAGTGTTTTTTTGACATATAACCTCCTTTTCTTGGGGATATCATTCTTTTAATAGTTCCGAATTTTGAATAAAATAAAAAACAAATAGGACGACTTAATCATGTAGCTGACATAGGAACGATCGGATATTTAATGTCAAACATTACATATATTTCGTTTAGGGTAGTAAATTAAAATGGAACATTATCTTAAAATTATTGGTTGGTTTTTCGTTTCTTAAAAATCGGAAAGATCTGAACATACAATGCTTTCTCGGGAACGACCCGCAAGGGTATAGAAACTTCGGCGGGCAGAAGTTAGCTTCCTTTCTTGCTTTAAAATATAAATAGGGTAAACAACTACTTCAAACTTTTTTTTCAACTTTTTGCTACGTAGATTTCAAACTTAACTGGGGCGAACGTCTGTGATTGAAATGCGGTTTGAATTTGTATGTATTCGGACAGTTTCAATTTGCGGTTTGGAGGGTTTTGCAACGTAAACTCGCTATTAAATACGTTAATGCACGTAAAAAAATGAAAATATTATTTAAGCAAGAAGTGAATCGCAGTTATAGGTTGGAACCAAGTAACCCACATCTGCCTTTATTTTTACTAAAGGCTTACTTTAGGGTCAAATATGTCCTTTGTTAAACAACATTATCCGGAACGAATAAAATATCTAGAAATCTGTCCTGTTCTAAATAAGGTTAACTTTAGTTTTCTTAAAATTTTTGCTAATCTCAAACATTAAAAAAAAATTAATTAATTAATTTAATTAAATTAAATTAATTTTGCCAGAAAACAGCACTAAGAAAATAATAATTTTTCCGATTCAGTTTTTGGATTGTTAATGTTAGAGAAATCCGTTTTTTTAAAGAATTAACCCTGTTAAAAAATATTAAATTCGAATTCTTTCTTAAATTATTCTATACTATTTTGTATACGCATAAGAAGGAAAAACTAAAAGCATTTTCTTCCTAAAAAATCAATGGTAATAACAAAATTTGGTTAATTCTGTTCCATTTACAGGTTATTCATACTCTATGAGTAAATGCGTATATTGTATTAGTCGGGATGTATGTTACAGATAGAAGAAAGCGTTTCCGACCTTATAAAGTAGAGTCTGATAAGAAGACGGAGTCGAACTAGCCATTTTCGTCTGTCCATCCGATCGTACGAACGCTGATGTATCTTGGGTAATAAGTTCTTACCTTTTGCCCGCATGTAGCAGAAACAAAGTTAAATTTGAAAATGTAAAGTAGATAAAAAAGCCTCTAATCGAAATCATGAATGCATATCTCCATCTCCCTTTAGCTTATCTAAGCTTTTAATTGGCATCACAGGTCAGTCGTATACTCGTATAATCATTTGTTTTTTTTAATATTAGTAACTTATGTGCATACTTTCATTAAATAGTTTTAAAGTTCTTTATTTAAATTATACATTTGATATGCAACATATATTTATTGTAAAAATAAGACGAAATATATTACCTTTTTAATTTTATTTTTTTCGGCCTGTGTGGGAAAAGATACTGGTTTCGGGTGATGGAAGCTTTCAATTGACTCAGAGACCTCAGAGATTTCATTAGGCTTGGAATCGTCGTCATGAAACGTTGGCAGAATCGCGTGGCCGTGGTGACCGGCGCTAGTTCAGGAATCGGTGCGGAAATCGCTCGAAAACTGATCTCGGCCGATGTGGTGGTAGTGGCCCTGGCCCGTCGCCTGGATCGTTTGGAGCAACTGCGCCAGGAAGTGCCGGAGGATCGGCAATCCCAACTGCACATCCGACAGTGCGATGTCACGGACGTGGTATCCGTGAATGACGCCTTCGACGCGGTGCAGCGGGAACTGGGCGGCGTGGACATTCTGATTAATAACGCCGGAAAGTTGTCTGGCGGACAGCTCCTGACCATGTCGTTAGACACTGTGCAGCAGGTGCTGCAGACGAATGTAATGGGTGTGGTCCACTGCACCCAGCGGGCTTTCGAGTCGATGAGGCAGCGCCATAACACAGGTCATGTGGTCCTCATCAACAGCATCGTGGGCCACTACATATTCAACCCGCTGCCTGGAAGCCAACAGGAGCTTAACATGTACCCGGCCACGAAGCACGCGGTAACCGCCCTCACCGAGCTCTTACGCCAGGAGATGCGGGACTTCAAGACAAATGTTAAGGTCACGGTGGGTACATGTTAAATATATTTTATTTTTATAATAGTTACTCGTTGAGTTAAAGTTTCCGAAACCTCAGCGTTCAAATTATTTTTCTGAATAGTCGTTGATTTATATTTTTTAATTTTTATACCCGTTACTCGTAGATTCGTCGGAAAGTATGTAACAGGCAGAAGGAAGCGTTTCCGACCCCATAAAGTATATATATTCTTGATCAGGATCACTAGCCGAGTCGATCTAGCCATGTCCGTCTGTCCGTCTGTCTGTCCGGATGAACGCTGAGATCTCGGAAACTATAAGAGCTTGGCTATTGAGATTTGGCGTGCAGATTCCTGAGCTTCTTATGCAGTGCAGGTTTATTTCAGCAGAGTGCCACGCCCATTTTAAAGCCCACAAACCTTCCAAACCTGTGACGCCCACAATTTTCATGATAGATATGCTAAAAATGCTAAAAATAAATTACACTAATGTATTGGTCTCGTCAAAACCTATCGATTGATCCAAAAAAAAAATTTGCCACGCCCACTCTAACGCCCATAACGCTTAAATCTGTCTACCACCGGTAGGTGGCGCATTTTAATCTCTCTTTGCTGCTTGCATATCTCCATTTCCCTTTGGTCCCTTTAGCTGAGTAACGGGTATCTGATAGTCGAGGTACTCGACTATAGCGTTCTTCCTAATTTGTTTTTATTTTATTGGTTGTAGCTTTTAATTCACTTAACTCACTATAACATCATGATACTTTTTTTTTTGTATAACGGATCGCGACTGCAGTCAAAAATAGACTGACTTCTTAATTCTAAAATTTTATCCAACAAACTAGAACTTTAATTTTTGTTTAAATTAAAAGCTAATGCTGAAACTGTCGCATGCCATCGTGAAATTAAATTATGCTGACCGATGCAATTTTATTGAAAGCTGGATCGCAAAATGATCTGAGCTTAACTTAACTTAAATAACATATCTCGCATCTGTTTTTGGGTTGGGGTATTTTATATTAATTATCGCGATAAATACTGGCTTTTGTTCTTGTTTTAATATTTCTTTGATATCTTCATTGTTTAAAATTGTTGTATTGTTTTGTCAGTGTGATAGTATTAATTAAATTTTGTAGATCAAATGTCAATAATCTTAAGCGATGTTTTCTTAATGGTAAGTTTTGATCATTTAAAACGTTTTTTCTTAATCTTCAGAAAGAGATTATATTTCTTTGAACAATTTGGAATTAATATTAAATTGATTTTTAATATTTTCAATTAGTCATTGATTATTTTCTGTACTTTAGTGAAATCACTATAATACGGTGTTCCACCTAACCATTTCCCCACTGCGGCTAACTCATTTATTCTCCTGTTTGATCTAGTTGATATTAACCGTGGATAAAATTAATTCGATTACTTCTTTGTCGTATTTAATTTCCCATTGTGACCTCTTATTAGAATCCCTTTTAATATTATTTGGTTCTATATTTATTATTTCTTTATAAAAACTTGAATTAATTACGTGGAATAAATCGTTGTATGATTCATAAGTAAGAACATCCTTGTTGTCCTTGAACATAAAAAATTCATGGTTCAAGTACTAAATTATTTCTGAACAGGCCAATATTATGATTGATAAAAGAGGTATCAAGGAATTTTCTGCACGTTAAAAACATAATTTATTAATCCTTAACATAATTCTGTTTCTACTATTGATTATAATTTTTTTAGGCATAATTCATTAATTAATTATTCATTACGTAAGCTACTTGTCCTGCGTGGTATTCTTTTTCTTTTATATTTTCATTATGTGTTTGTAATATTTTCTTTTAAGTTTTTTTCAATATTTGAGCAATATTTTGGTGCTCGATTTTATTATAAAGAATGTTAAAAGGTTACTCTGATTATATTCCTGAGAGGCTCTTATGACCATTTCAGAATAATTGGTTAGATTAAATTATTCTTTTAAGCAGCGTCCGTTTGAGGCACCTTTGTGCAAAAGATTTAAATTATGCCGAGGTAAAGCTCGGGCATTATAGGTCTTAAGTACTTTGGCTTGGGGAAATTGTGGATGTTTAATTTATTTTGAATTTCTTTAACTACTAGGAATTTTATGAACGTTTCAAAACAAGTTATACAAGTTTGCACATAGTATACATATATCAATATTTAAGTTTTCTCCTTCTTTAATTGGTATTGGAGCTTCTCCAATTAGTATTTTAATTGGGTGTCTGTTATATTTGTTTTTTTATTGCAAATTTTACAATTTTTAATATGTTCTTTTAGTTTTGTGTATAAAGTAGGCCTATAATATAATCTTTTGATTTGTTTATATTTTTCGTCTAGTCCCCTATGAGCTCGATTGTGTGTTTCTTCTATTAATTTCGCTCTAAGTCTTGAAAAAACATTCGCGTAAAAAGAAATTTAGTAGTAAAATTAGTTTTTTTAAGTTACTTGAAAATGATAAATATCTTCTAAGCTACAATAAATTCCAACCGTTATTTTAGGCGGAAGATACTCTCTTAATATAGCTACTAAATTCTTAACTGTAACATATTTCTATGAAGGAATACCACCTTTTCATTTCTACGTTTGGATTTTTATCCGGAATTGTGAAGGATAAAGATTGTTGGTCCGTTTCCATTTATATGGTACTCCATATAAATAAGTTCGTAGATTTTTTAAGGCCCATACTATGGCTAACAATTTCTTTTTATTTGTATCATAATGTGTGCCGTTTTATTCAATGTTTTAGAAATAAATGAAATTGGTTTATTATCTTGTGTTAATATTGCCCCCGATAGCTACGTCTGATGCGTCTGTTGTTAAAACGAATTTTTGAACATAATCTGGCTGAACTAATTCAACCTATGTTATTAGATTATCTTTTAGCTCGTTTAAAGCTTGTACAGTTGATTCGTCATACTGTATTGAAACTTTTGTAGACGTTCTTTTAGAAACCTCTCCATTTTCCTTCTAGATATATTGTTAATGGACAAATAGGGCCCCCGTTTGGCCTAGAAAACTTCGGAGTTCTGTAATATTTTGATATTTTGTAATTGTGGAAAGTTTTTAAGGATCCGTTTTAATTACATTATGAGAAACAACGTAACCTAGAAATGCGGTTTTTAATTTAAAGATTTTCAATTTTTTCAGTAAAATTTTATAATTGCTCTTTGTTTATTAATTAATTAATAATAATATTAGTAATTTTAATATTAATAATTTTAATTAAATCAGCAAATTGTTGTTCAATTGTGTTTGAAAAATAATAATCATTCATATAAACATGACACGTTTTTCCCACTTTTTCCCTTAAGACATCATCCATAGCTCTTTGAAAAATTCTTGGTGCATTTCTTTAGCAAAAGGGCAATTTTAAAAAATTAAATTTTCCATTATTAATAGTAAGTGCTGTTTTTTCAATATCTGAATCTTTCATAAAGATATTGGTTTTTATAAATGTCCCTGTCGCTGTCAGTATTTATTTCACTTCAAACAAATATTTTTTTTGAGTGTTCCTCCTTGATTATGTCAATTATTTTCTTTTCCAATCGATTAGTGCTAGATATTTTAATATTAGGCATTTTATTTTGTTTTGGATTCTTTAGTTCCAAAATTTCGACGTCGGGGTGTTTAAGATTTTTAGATCCTAAACGATTATCTTTTTTGCTGACGGAAATTTCATCGTCGGCTTGCTCAGGATTTGTTGAACCCAAACAATTTAATTTTTTGTTGACGAATAGTTTTACGTTGGCGTGTCCATGATTTTTTGATCAGCGTGTTAAGGATTTCTTGATTCCAAATTAAATTTTTTTAATAAATTCTTTCAATGGAAGAGTATTATTATCTTGAATTAAACTTGATTCGTTTTTGCTGTCTTCCCCTCATATTCCAAAACTCCCTTTTCTATATTTATTATAGCTCCTATTTATACCAGTTACTCGTAGAGTAAGAGGGTATACTATATTTGTCAGAAAGTATGTAACAGGTAGAAGGAAGCGTTTCCGACCCCATAAAGTACATATATTCTTCATCAGGATCGCTAGCCGAGTCGAACTAGCCATGTCCGTCTGTCTGTCTATATGGCTGTCCGTATGAACGCTGTGATCTCGGAAACTAAAAAAGCTAGACATCTGGGATTTGGCATGTACATTCGTGAGCTTCTTGCGCAGCGTAAGTCAGCAGGGTGCCACGCCCACTCTAGCGCCCACAAACCACTATAGCACTAAAACCCGTCTAGCGCCCACATAAGAAGTTGTTTTTTTAAATTAAATGAGAGTTTCTTTTTATTATCAATACCTATCTACTATCAAAATGTTATTGAAATTCATCAGCAAATTATAATCAATATTTTGCAATTCAATCGAGATTGCACACCACATGCAGCAAGTTAGCTGTTTCCACTAATAAGCCGCCAAGCCGCTAGGGGCGCTGTAGGCGAATTGGCGCTATAGAAGAAGAAGATAGGTGACGCTATAGGCTAGGAGTTAAGTGAAAAAAGCAAAGCTGAGGGGTGAACTTCCGTTTAGCTCTCAATATACACGTTATTAGGGGTCATGATTACGGGAAAAATAGTCAAAGTTGGCGCAAAAAACGGGATCATGAAAATAACGGTAAAAACTGTTTTTTTGTAAATATCTTCAAATATATTTACTTAATCAAAAACTTTGCCAGGGAGAAATAAAAACTTTGAAAGAAATGAGTAACTTATGTTTTATAAATTGTTTCTATAAAACTAATAGTTTTCGTTAAAAACGCTAAATAAGACTACATTTTCACAAGGTTTGAAAATAATAAATCGTTGGAGCACACTTGCGTCATTTTGACCGATATATAGTACGAACGCTTGTTGTTATATCGGCGTGTCGATATCGATATCGATGTCACTCGTTGTTTTAGTTATAGTACGATCAAAACACGAGAACGGCAATAAAATTTTTAAGAACACGGAATTAAAATAATAAAGTCTAAATGAAAAGTATAAGCAAAATATAAATGTTGGAAAGAGAATTTAAGTTGTCGTAGTTAAAATTAAAGGTAAGAAATCAAAATAAAATTCAAATTATAAAAACGGAAATAAAATGTATTAACGAAAATGATATAAGAAGCATTTCTAATGTCGCAAGCAAAAATGTTTTTAAACAAAAATCGCATCAATTTTTTTTTAAAACATTATTGCCTGACCACAACAAGAGACAGAAATAAAAACAGAATGAGACAAAAAAAATTTAATTTTAGAAAACTCAAATTAAAACTTATATTTTTGTCACAATTTTTGTGATTTATTCATCAAACTCTATCAGCAACTATAATCAACCGTCTTGAAGCGCTTTGGTTGTAAGCTAGTAAAATATGCGATTTATTAATACATTAAACTGTCTGTCAATTTTATGGGCCTGCCATAAAGATAATATTATGGCTAGGGTTATTAAAACGCTTACGATGAGAAATCATGACTTAACAAGCTGACTAAACTGCACTTATTTACAGAGCATCAGTCCGGGATTGGTGGACACCGAGATCGTACCTTTGGCTTACAAAAAACTGCCCATGCTGCGGGCGGAGGATGTGGCCAATGCCATCATGTATGTTTTGGACACGCCCCCACACGTCCAGGTGCATGAGCTGACCATCAAGCCAATGGGCGAACCCTTTTAGAACACCGCTACATTGCAACACATCGTCTACTAAATATTTTAGAGTATTGGGCATAACCTTGAACTAGTTTTCTGAATGAATAATTTGAGAATGAAATGGAACCAGTGTTGTTCTAAACCGGACTCCATTTGTACCACACTTCGGAAAATTAAAGGAATACGAGCATTTGCACATTAAATTTGTATAAAAAACTCGTTTCTTAAAGAAATATAACTAAAATGAAGTTTTTATGGAGCTTTCTACTTTTAAAAATATTTCAACCCAGTCTTACACCATAATTTTTTGATCGTTCTCTGTATGTGCTTTATATTATTATATTCTATTAAATTATTTTACTACCCAATGTTTTATACTCATGCAAAGGCTATTATAATGTTCATCTGAAGTTTCTGTTGTAATACAGAAGCGATTTTAGACATAATAAATTATACCTACTCGTACAAATGTTAAGCAGCTTCTCTTTTATGGTGTTCGATATCAGTTAAAGTTTTCCCATTGTCTTTTTATATAATATGGATTATATTCATAAAGCGAGAGATTCAAAACAATATGGCATAACAAATGAGTCAAGATTCATTTCACTGTTGCCAATAGCAATAGTGAATAACATATAAAAACAAGAGAAAATGCTATAGTCTATGCCATCGACTATCAAATACCCGTTACTCAGGTAAGAGGAGTGCGATGGAGATATGCAGTAAAGCTACTGCTCACAATTACACACCCCGCAACGGCGCAACCCCAATCTTTTAGCTTTTATAGTTTCTGAGATCTCCGCGTTTATACGGACGGACAGACGAACTCGGTTAGTACTCCTGATCAAGAATTTATGTAGTTTATGGGGTCGGAAACGCTTCCTTCTACCTGTTACATACTTTCCGACCAATCTAGTATACCCTCTTAGTCTACGAGTAACGAGTATATAAATTATTTTTTAAACATATAACAATTGCGTGTAACTTATAAATCAATTTTCTGCTTCATTTATGCTTTTAATTCGTTTTTTGGTATTTTAATTTTTCGATACTTAATAAGTATGCACGTTGAAAACGCCAAAATAAATACGATGATTCATAAAAAAATTAAAATATGTATTTTAAAGATATTTTGTATTAAATTTGTGTTAGATTTCACTTATGTACAGTTTTAATTATAATTCTTAACTGATACATAGTTTTACTTTTCACAAAGTTTTCACCATTCAACTGATTTATTATTCGGAAGTTATACTTTATTTTAGAGGCTATTACATTTGCGACCCGCTAAAAGTCTTAATTACCCCATGGCATGCGCCATAGATCCGACACTCTACTCAATTATTCAGATCACATGTGAAATGCGCGCTAGGGCGGTCGATTTTAAATATTTTATTTGCATGGCCAAGTTCGACCGATGTTTTGGGGTATATATAGTGCCTGCTTGGGCCAAGTCTCGATTCAGTTAACAGAGAACAGCTTAGTGGATAAGTGTTGAGAACAAACTACTTAAAAACATAAAATCAAGGGGATCTTGGTCTTTTAAGTTCAAAAACGAGAACTGAGCAATGGACCGCTGGCAGAATCGCGTGGCAGTGATCACAGGTGCTAGTTCCGGGATCGGAGCTGCCGTGGCCCGCCAGCTGGTAAGTGCCGGGGTCATTGTTGTGGGTCTGGCCAGGCGGGTGGAACGCATGGAGGCCATTAAGGAGGAACTGCCCCCAGAGCTGCAGACCCGCCTGCATGCCATTCACTGTGATGTCGGGGACCTGGACTCGGTTACGGCCGCCTTCAACTGGATCGAGGAGCATCTCGGCGGATGTGACATTCTGGTGAACAACGCCGGCTGCCTGAACCCCGGACAGCTGCTCACTTTAGAGCTGGAGCAACTGCAGCAGGTTCTAAACGTAAATCTAATGGGCGTGGTCGTCTGCACCCGACTGGCCTTCCGCTCGATGCAGCACCGTGAGGTCGCAGGTCATGTGGTGCTTATCAATAGTCTGACCGGACGAACCATTATCAATCCACCCGGCGACGAGTTGCAGTTGCTCAACATGTATCCGATCACCAAGCACGGGATAACGGCCATGTTAGAGGTTCTGCGACAGGAGCTGCGCGGATTCAAGACCAAGATCAAGGTCACAGTGAGTATAAATTAAACAAAATAGAATGCTATAGTCGATGGCCTTGACTATCCGATACGCGTTACTCACCTAAGGGGAATGCGAGGGAGATGGAGATTTGCAAGCAGCAAACCGACTGTTTCCAAGATTGCACACGCAACAGCGCCATCTAGCGTACATTTCTTTATTTGCTTATGGATTTTAACCCGATTTGATTTGGTCCGATTTTAACAATTTTTGGCATGAATATTGAAAGTATTGAAAGTTCAGCTTTAAACTGTACACGCTGGTAACACCCAAAACATTTTTCAAAGAACTGTTCTTGAGATATTAGCGAAAAACATGTTTTTTTATGTTGCAAAAAAGTGATGTATCCTTGGAGAGGTACATCTATTTACTTTTATTAGATTGTGTCAACTGCCAAACGGTTAGATAATGGGATTCTGCGATATAATCTTTTTAATATTGCAATATCGCGAATATCTAAAGAACGAATCTTGGAAATTTTTTGAGTGATACCAGAGTGTGCAGGAACAACATGTAGGTCCAGCAAAAGTGGGCTTAGAGCTAAAATCTAATAAAATCTAGTGTATTAAAAACAAAACAATATCCCGCTTACACTTTTACAAAATATTAAACAATGTGGGAGCTAGACGCCCATAACGCTGGCGCTATGGTCGTTTGTGGACGTTAGAGTGGACGTGGCTTCAAGAATCTTCATGCCAAATGCCAACTTTCTAGCTTTTATAGTTTCTAAGATCTCTGCGTTCGGTGTTTTTTGAAATATGACCTTCTACTCTTGGAAATGATATTTAAATCAATTTCAATTAATAATATTTAAATCAATTCAGACGACTTCATCATATAGCTACCAGAGGAACGATCGGAAAATTAATGTCAATGAAATACATAGACCGTTATATTTCACTTTCGATAAACATATCTTAACATTTTTTTACCCGTTATTCGTAGAGTAAAAAGGTATACTAGATTCGTCGGAAAGTATGTAACACGCAGAAAGAAGCGTCTCCGACCCCATAAAGTACATATATTCTTGATCAGGATCACTAGCCGATCTAGCCATATCCGTCTGTCCGGATGAACGCTGAGATCACGGAAACTATAAGAGCTAGGCTATTGAGTTTTGGCGTGCAGATTCCTGAGCTTCTTACGCAGTGCAGGTCAGCAGAGTGCCACGCCCACTCTAACGCCCACAAACCGCCCAAAACTGTGGCTCCTACAGTTTTGATGCTAGAATAAAAATTTTAACTCAAATGTGTTGTTCACATCAATACCTATCGAGTGACCCAAAAAAAGTTTTCCACGCCCACTTTAACGCCCACAAGCCACAAAAAATTTTAACTGAAATGTATTGGTCTCGTCAATACCTATCGATTGATCCAAAAAACTTGCCACGCCCACTGTAACGCCCATAACGCTTAAATCTGTCTACCGCCGGTAGGTGGCGCATTTGAATCTCGCTTTGCTGCTTGAATATCTCCATTTCCCTTTGGTCCCTTTAGATGAGTAACGGGTATCTGATACTCGAGGTGTTCGACTATAGCCCTCTTCCTTGTTTTTTTTGTTATTATTCTATATAACCATTTTTGGTGTAGTTTTTGGTACTAAAGCGATTTTATGATAATAATTTAGCAGTATACCACTTAAAATATAGAGACAAAGCGGATTTGATAAAAAAGGAACCAAATCTTTTTTTAACGAAATAGTTATTAAAAACACAAGTGTGCCAACTTTGTTCGGCAAAATCTGCGTATTTTTTGATTTTTAAATTTTAAAACTTAAGACGCAAATCAATGAAACAAAATTAATTTGGTTGCTATATTTTCCATTTATACAAAATAATTTTGTTGAATTTTATAGTACAGTTTTTAGATGAAGAAAACCGCACTTGAAGTTCAAGATGCTAAGTGTGCCAACAGTAAAGTTCGTTAAACATCGATTTTTTGTATTCTTAGCTACACCAATTATTAGGGAAAACTCAAAAATCATTAGTTAGCTTTTTATTCTTTGAGTAAAGTTAGAAAATTCTACAAGTAAAATAATAAAGTAAAAGTAATAATACATGCAAACCATAAGCTCACATTTTTAAATATTTTTCAGAGCATCACCCCAGGTGTGACCGACACAGAAATTCTGCCCGCTGGTTACGACACGTTGCCGATGCTAAAGCCGGATGACATTGCCGCGGGCATTATGTACGCCCTGGCTACTCCCCCACATGTTCAAGTGCACGAGCTGACCATCAAGCCGTTGGGAGAGCCTTTCTAAATCCCTCCGGCATACCTCTATGATGATAGTAAAAATATCGTTTCCAGCAAATATACCGGCATGCAGAAGTTACAAAGTATTGATTTTTATTTGGATTTTATTGAATGGTCCCATTTTTATAATTTTTGGCGTGTGTATGGGTATTGATAATTCGAAAAAACTCATATTTAAATAAAATATTAAAAAATGTGATCGCTGAACCGGCTTTAGTGTTATGATCGATTGATTGCCTATGGCTATGACAGACAACAACGTCTACTACTTGATTGTCTACTACCTGATTTGTTGGGTGAATGTCATGTTAAGTAACATTGGTCACAAACATTCTCCCCCATTGAGGTGTACCCTGACTTAAGGTGTGATGTCGGTCAGCCCTTGACCGTTTTGTATAATAAGCAGCTAACGAATTAGTGATGCTTACGTATACCTTTTTCAGCTGTGGAGGTTCCAGTTTATGATTATATTCATCCATATCTTCTTGCTGCTGCTGAACGCTTCTTCTTGTGACAATGGTGGCATTGCCGTGGGGACTGAAATTGTCCCGTCATAGAACTAGATCATATGGTATGTCAAAAGTAGGTGCAAATCCTGCAATAAAGCTTAGATGTTTCTTTTTTAAATCTATAAATGTCATAAAAAATTTATACTTGTAGTTTTAAAGTTGGTGAGAAGTCGGTCCATTTTAATCTTTAATTCTTCAGTATGCTGGAGCCATTGTGTGTAGTGTTTGATTCTTGTTCGGATGAGTCAGTTTTGATTGGTTACTTGTATCTTCAGGCTCTATGATACATCGATGCTGAGCTCGTTAAATGTATCCTTTTTTCACCATTTAGCCGTTCTCTATTTTCTTTATAAAATTGGTCATTACCCACCGAATTTTCATTTTTCGACGGCTCACGGGCAGGGTAAGGTCTTGCAAGATAATCTTCGCCCTCTTCTAAAATAGGTTTGGTTTC